GTTGTTTTATTGCTGAACTTTTGATAATTAATGTGCGTTTATACAGCTAAAAGAAAATGTTATAAATTTGTGTGCATCATTAAGTGTTTAGTTAGGACCTTTGATTTTTGCTTTTTCCTTTCCTTATCTTCCGTTTATTTTGTTGCCCTATAATCGTCATCATCATTTTCACCGTCGTTGCCCTTGTCGTTGTCGACATCATCGTCTTCGTAGTTGTCGTTGACTTCGTTGTCGCTGAGGCATTTTCTCATAAAACGTCATTGATTGTTGTTGCTTCCACTGATATCTACTGGTTTTGTTTTTCATCATTTGTTTTTTTTTTTTTTCGTAAAGACCTGAAGATGATGATGTAATCAGCTTCCACATAGGATTCCAAGACTATGCTAAAGTTTACTGTTTGTATTTTTTCCTGCTTACTGCTGTTTGATGAACAGACGAATGAATTGTTAAGGGAAACTGGTGAGACAAATTGAACTAAATGACTGCTTGCAGCTGTCTCTAAATTCAAGCGAAAAAAAAAATTTTCATATTTATGCTACTATTGCTGCTGTTGTTGCGAGTAGGGGAAGTGAAAGTGGGAGAAGAACGATTAAAAGCCAATTGGTTAGCCTTTTAAAGCGAGAAGAAAAAGGACTTGATTGAATTAACTGAAAAAAAAAAGTGAATTTTTGATCAAATATATTTCTTAAAAAGGGAAAAAAAGAAATTTTTTTTTTTTTTGACCGGGCATTATTCAAGAGTTTTGTGAAGTTTTAATTGAGGAGAAAAGTGGGATACGACCACTTTTGTTCTTTGTCAACTGCAGATACTGATGTTGATGGTGATGATGGCAGTGATGTAGATGCCGATACCGTTGTTAGTGATGATGATAAAGGCCAATGATTGTCATCTTTCTCAAAAAAAAAAAAAAAAAATGAAGAAAAATTAGTAGGAACCATATTCTTGTATTTTTAATATTTATTTATTTGCTCGCTTATCTTTTATTCTTCCGCTTCTCCCACTCTTTTACTTCTTATTTCTTATTTCTCTTTTCCTGAATTAAAATTTGCACATTTTATTGCTTTTAGACAATTTCTTCTTTGTTTTTTTTTTTTTGAATTTTTTTTCTACAAAAAATTCTTATCTTTACAAGTTTCTTTTAATTACTTGAAAAGTGAAGCTGAATATTTGCATATAAATATATAATTGCCATTAATATTAGCATTATTTCTATCACTGCACTTATTATTACTATTATTATTCCTATTACTATTATTTTATTATTAATATTATTATTATTATTAT